TATATATATAGACACCAGTGGCCCCCTGAAGCTCCTGCATTTTAAGAGTTTTGGAAGGTTAAAAAGTGTAATTCTGATGGTCTGCTGAAACATTTTCAGTGGACTCCTGTTTTGTGTAGTTTAGTATAAAGATGTTAATAAACCAAACACAGCATAGAAATGACTCTGACAGCCAGAACCTTCAATCATTACCACACATTTTATGGTATAGCATTTTTATTTTTTCTGTCTAATCCAGAGGTGCCCAAAGTGGGGCCCGCGAGCCAAAATTGGCCCTCCAAGCCGTTTGATTTGGCCCACCAGCAGTTGTCCTGGTTACTAGATTGTAAATACTGTATGTTCAGATTAAATATAAAATACAAGTAACTACAAGAGACATTTGGATTAGATTTAAGCACATATCTAGATTTGCACACCTTATAAGACCACATATACGTACTCAGATTTTAAATTATGAAAAGTCCCATGAGCCTTTGCTGCCTGAGCACAAGTTGAATTTTTTCAATGTCCATGGGCTGAAAAAACAAACAAAAAACAAAAACAAAAGATTGTGGACAACCACACTGACTGCTAGCATAATTATGAAAGATAAAACAACTTTACTCAAGTATTTACATTTCTTATATTARTGCATTTGGCCCGCGGCCCTCAGATTGATTTTAATTTTGGCCCTGTCCTGGAAAATGTTTGGGCACACCTGGTCTAATCAATGGGAACCAATTAGAGTTTCAAACTGTCCCACTGGAAGGGATTCTCAGTTATAATGTTGAGAGAAGTCAGAATGACGTGTGGAAAAACCTTTTAGGTGTGAAATACAAAAAAGAGAAATGAGGATACATACCAGTGTGGGAATGATGGACTTAAAGGCAGATATTTCTGTCTGACCTTTGCAGAGAATATTAGACAATGCTTTTCAGTCAGAAGGTGAGAGAATGCAGGATTACATGAGGTGCAGTCAAAAGTCTCGAGATGTCCTCCCAAATATTTTTCTTGCATGCACTAGTTAATGGGGCACTGAACTTTTCTTTTGTTTTCTTTCTTCAACTAACTCACTGAGTGTCAGTGTTTCCTCCACTCTCCAGTTGGATTTCCTCTAAGAATCCACGGCTGTGATAACCTCATCAAATTTAGCTTTCTTAATCAGTTCCCCACCTGGTTCTGACTTATCAGCAAACATATGGTGGAACAAAGAGGGAGCCGTTTGTCTTTAATTTACTACATGAAGGATTATTTCAGACTTTCTTCTTAAAAACAATAAATACAACACTATTCAATTCAGTTTATTTATATAGCGCAAGGTCACAACATACATTGTCTCTTCCAAAGAAGACAGCAGATTGTGTTAAATCACTTCGTCACAGTCTCCCATCCTGAGCATCAGACAGTGGAGAGGAAAATTATTGTGTTGAATTTGAACTTATTTTAAGATTTACACAATTTTATCTTGACATTTCTCTGACAATATTTTTGAATATGAAATCTGATTGAGTGACTGGTCCTTGTCTGGGGTTTTCTAAATACTTCATTCAGGATCAACAAAGTAAATCAGCAAGAGTATAGCAAGAATGAACATCTCCGAAAATGTTGGAGTAAAACTGCATTTAAGAAAAATATTGGTCAATCTAGTAGATATTTGAGTTCTGCAGTGCTACGTTACTGCCTCAAAACTTTCTAAAAGTTATGTTTTGTCAATTAAAATGTAATATATTAGAATTTACTCAGAGCTTTTTTCTGACCTCCATTTCCGCCCGACAGCCGGCCTCGACCCACAATGAATCATGGGATTGGGTGGATCAAGAAGGATGATGTTTGAGCTGTAACCGTCTTTGTCCAGACACCAGCTTTTCAGATGGTGACCCCACTTGAAATATGGGGTCCATCCCAGAACCGTTTGCTAGTGCAGTGTAGGAGGGTCACATCTATATTCTATAACTAATTTCCCTTTAGGATCAAGTATTTTTGAATTGAATTGAATATTCTTAGTAAATTTCATGCTGCTAGGTGCAGCCATTTCTGAGCTTCAGTTGATCAAAAACCTCTGAAAAACTTAAAATAAACAGAACAAAAACAATAAGATCCTTGCTTCATGTAGTGGTGGTTATAATAAGAATACAACATTAATTTCTTATGCCTTGTTCTCGATTAGCAGGTTCTTAAGTTACATTTTATTAAAATACATCAAATCAGCTAAATAAATGCTTACTATTTTTGACAGTACTATTAAAAACCAGAGCAGCAGCTGACGTTTAATTTTGAAATAAAAATACAGTACAGAAAGTGTACTTTACACCAGACTCATCTGTTTTGATGCACATCAGGTCAGATAAACATTTTTCTTTGCTGTAGATTTATCAACAATAATCATCCCTGTTCAGATGTTTGTTATAACTGAAATCATTATTAAAATTGCTTAAAATTATTTTAAAACCTCATTAGAGCAGCATGTTGACCTCACTTTTTAAACTTTTAAAGATCTGCTCAAAAACAGAATTTTCTTCTTGTGTTGGTGCACTTGAATGCTTCAAGGGTTTTTTTATTTTGTACATTTTTAATGTTATTTTACATCATGTATAATTAAAGCAAAAAAGAGAAATGAATCAAGTTGCCATTTATGCCATTTAAGATTGGTTACATTCATTGTGATGTCACATGGTTAAGTTTCACTGTTTGTGAGAGAACCATGAAATCATTGCAGCAGGTTTATTCTGGTCTGTTTTATCAGAACTCTATAATAAGTTTTTGTGTTTGTACTCTAGACTGAGATACGACCCTGTATGTTTTATCCAGGACCTGCGAGACAGAAACGATGAGCTAAGCTTAGAGCTGGAACTGCTGAAGAGTCAGAAGAGCAACAGGAAGTCCAAACAACCCTTCGGATATGATGTCGACACCTCAGCGCTGAGCTGGTGTCAACAACTCACAGAGTCAGATTCTGGTAAACAAAGACTACCACCCAACAAGCTGAACAGATAACTATCACAGAGTCTGACTCTAGTAAACAAAGACTACCACCCAACAAGCTGAACAGATAACTATCAGAGAGTCTGACTCTAGTAAACAAGAGTATAGATGCACTAGTTCTGCTTTCATGGCTGATACAGATTTCCGGTTTTTGAGTAGCCCTGATCTGCCGAAACTGATTTTCTTTCAATGAACTAACTAATACAAAGTCAAATGCATTCAAGATTATCTGCTCTCTTAAAACAATACATCCTCAAAGAAGCTGTCTACACTGACAACATGCACTGTTGCCAACTCCTTATTTATGGTGTATTCACACCTGACACATTTGGTCCGCTTTAAACGGACCAGAGTTTGTTTCCCCTGTTGGTCTGGACCTTTTATGCAGGTGTGAATACACTCATGTGAACCCTGGTGCGGATCAAACAACCAAACTGAGACCCATTTTTGTGTTGGTCTCTGTCCACTTCCAAACGAACTCTGGTGCGGTTCGCTTATGATGTGATTTGGTTATGTCTGTCCTGAAAGTTACATAAAATATGATTTGGAAAATGTCATTTGTAGCATTAAATTGACAGAAAATGGCCCTCAGATTGGACCAAGTTTTGAATTTTGGCCTCCTTGTGTAGCTGAGTTTGACTCTCCAGCTGTGGATTCTTGTGTTACAGTAAGTTGTTTAGTTTTTGTTTACTCACATGTTAAAATGTTCAATTGAGCCCTTGTTTACATAACATACAGTTAAATATTTCCCCAAAAGTGTTTTTTAATAATTATTCCTTATTTTTTATAATTATTTACCATATTGCACTACAAAAATACATGCTAGTGCTACGTTTTTGCCTAATTTATCCATCTATGATAATTTATAGTTTGACGTGTCTTCAGCTGGTTTATACTCGCTCAGGAAAAAGACGTCTAAAATTACACAATCTCCAGCCCGCTGTCTCACGTATTACTGATGTATAAACCAAGCTTTACTCAAAGATGTATACACACATAAACAACACTACACGGCTTCAGATACACACCCCCTCAAATCTCCATCTTTGCTGTCTAAAATGTGCTCTGTGCAGAGAGGTTTTTTCAAACCCATATTGTGTCCTTGTAGTATCTGCAACATGATCATTATTACAAATGTATTGATTAGGATGAACTAAAACACTGGTTTGTGATCATTTATTACATTATCATTTCCAGAAAGAACAACCACCGGATTTTGTAACTATCCACGCAAAATGTAATAATGTTATGACATAATATTTAAAAAAATGAAAATTTAATACAAAAATTGTTTCAAAACTAATTAGTTAATTTTGAAAACTTTAAATTCAGTTTCAATTTAGTGAAATTCCTTTTCAAACCATGCATTCAACTTCAAATTATGCAAATACAGATTCAGTTTTAACATTTCAAAATCAGTTTCTTCCCATACACAGTCTCCAGTTCCTCATGTGCCTCGTGTCTCAGGCTGAAGCTTCATTCTAAAACTTGCTTTTTAAAAAATGTTTCTCCTGTTGAAGAAAAGCTGTTTTGTTTTTAAATTAAAAAAAAGATGTGCTGTTGTGTTTCTGACAGAAGGTGGCACTACTTTCTGCGTTACATTCACTTAAAGATGTTCAAACATTTTACTTCCCACAGCTGCTGTTACTGTTCTTTGTTTTATTTTCTTCTCTGTCCAGCAATAATCTAAATGTTTAGTATTAAAAAATAAAGACTAAAAAAAGGGTAAACTAACCGGTAAAATATATTTGTTGTGAAACTCATGACAGTTAGCTAAACTGGACTTTCAGGTTGGTTCTGTATTGGTACATTAAGACATGCCCAGAGTGTGTCTCTCAGTGAGTTTCTGTTTGTTTTCAGAGGAAACAGACATGAAGCGCAGCTCATCTCCAGTGGTGAGGAAGAAACTGCAGCCTAAAACTGGTGAGAAACACACACACACACACACACACACACACACACACACACACACACACACACACACACACACACACA